CAATAACAGACAGATCCTTTACGCAGTATTCTTATGGATGCTATCAGCAACCACAATGACCCCTGTCAGCGAATAGCGATCTAGATTTCCTGGAACACCCCGTTAGTCAATATGTGAAACAGCTACTTACATATGCTCTCATCGCGAAACAGATGGATCACCGCAAATCTAACACTAACATGACTGAACGAAGGACATTTCAATCTTAGGTAGCACATGCGCAGAATCGGATAATTTTAAACGACTGAGCACAACAACTCAGCAACAAATATGTATGCTTAAGGGATCTGTAACGTAGTGAGAATTTCATAAAGACTCGTTTCCTTGGAGGAAATACTTATGCTTCGGTTTTCATCTAAGAGATTCTACCTCTAAGTTACAAACCACATTACAACTTCAACACGGACCCTGCTCAAGAACATGATTATATTTGGCCGCCTTCTATTGTACTTTCAATATGACTAATAACCAAAGAAAATTTTTAGTCTGAAAGAAGCAGCAGTACAATATCACAAAACTTTAATATCACCAATACGTATGAGTCATCATCCTCCGTTAAAACTCAAAGAATTGGAAGCAAGTATCTGCATTCATTCACGAGGAAATTTTTCGCCACAACAAAGAACGATTCATCTGATGAGCTGGTCTGTGGTTCGGTTACTGGTCGAAACGACATCCGCGTTTCTCTTAAATGCTTCACCTAACATCGCGTAGTTTCGTATAAATTTTACTCTGGTAACAACACTACGAGATGTCGAAACGGGCTGGGATAGGAAGAAAGTGTTTATGGGGTGTGGAGATAAGGAGGGGATAAAAAGGCAATGACACAATTGGTTACATTGCATTGCACGTTAGAGGTGCCGGGTTAAGACGCGATGAGTGGCTTAAATCATCTCTTAACTCCACTTAACAAGGAATTCACCCCGCTACGATTCCGTGCAACCCGTGAAAAAAAATAGATACCAGGTTATTGACTTGCCAATATTAGGGAGACAGCGTGATGCTTTGTGTGGTAATGCCATCAAATCCCGCGAGATATGTAGATCATGGCCTTGCCCTATGACGCATGCGCGTTGCGGCTGAAATCTGCCTTGACCCACCTGACAGCTGACTAAAATAAACACAAGGTAGAGGCAAATTTAATTTTAGGTAACATTCTCCTAGAAACTTGCTGACTTGAGCCATGAGATATGGAAAGAAAATGAATATCCTTACTCAAAAAGTTATTTGTCGATATGGTTTGTCATTGCCTTCTGGGTAACGCAAAATTTGACGGTCCCTGTTACTGCAAATTAACGATGTCCGACCTGTAAGACGCAGCCTAACTACTTCTGGTACTTGTTTAAGGCAATGTTTACGTAAAATCAAATGAACTGACAGACACTAAACTCCATTCTTCAGGTATATCATATAATTTAACATAGCCATTAAATACTCTTGTTTGCCTAGACGATGAGGCAGATAAAGGGAATTTCTTTAATCAGACATTAAATTGTAATGTCGCCTCCAAGAATAATTAAAATATTGGTTGCCTTAAATTTATTATCATAAATAAAAGACTTGGCCCGCAATGTTCGAATACTCTCGGTGGTCTTTGACGACACTGATGGTGTTTCCGTGTCCTCATTTTATGGCCCTATATGCTCTCCCGGCATACATACCCTCAAATAACTTACAGTTGACTTTACCCGGCGCAGTACAATATTCTATTCTGAAACTTTTTGCATAACTAGGAGTCTAGAGAAGTATCAAAACTGAAAAAACACTAAAAAGACCATTTAATAAGAAAGAATTTTTTGCGATATCTAAGGAACAAGTAGAATTGACACTATGAAATCTACCTTGTAGTTCGTTCGATGGGCCCTACTTATTGTGAATAAAATTTCCAATATTTCAGTATTTGTTAATTGCATACAAGAAGATACTCCCTTCTTGTTTAAGTACAAACGTATATACGACAAACGAGTGTTTCAATTTCTCAAAACGTATGGAACTACGACATCACAAATCTTTCAACAGAAGGAACTATTCCCATTACTATTACTATAATTTATTCCACATGCCGTTCATGGAGTGAATAATGTGAAGTTTCCTGAATCTTAGTTAACCGTTAACGATGGGAACCGGTTAATACTGACTGGTCACATGCTTTACGTCCACAACAAGACCTATAAGCAGTCATACATTCGGCACTTACATTTGCTCGCAGCGCCACTTGACGTGCACTGCCGATTCACATGGTAGCGAATAGTACACACTTTACTTGAGCTTGCCCGATATACTTTGGAGCCTTAGCGAGAGATGATTTTGGCCTCTTACAATGATGATTACATCAACCGCAAGGTCTGACGGAACTGGAATACGGCTGTTTGGCTAAGACCACTGTGAGAACGGATTATGATGGATCCATTACCTTCGTGGAACGGATATTATGAAACATCACTCATTCGTTTCACAAAAACTGCAAACCTGTTAGTCCAGCAGAACAAGAGAAAGAGAAGAGAGTCTTTTCCCCTACAAGAAAAAACGCAATCCTTCTGAATACAACAAATGAGGTAAAGAAAAATAATCTGTAATTTTCCGTCTAGTTCATATCCCAAAAAATCCACATGCTGAAAGTGGCGTCTTTTGCTTCTACAGGTATTACCTAAAAGCATCAAAACTTTTT